TCAACTTTCTTGAAGCATATATTACAAACAATTGTCATGTAGTCCCTTGAAAGAAAAACAGATTGAAATCAGATTGGCTTCTAATACTCAGGATTCCCTTTTTGTTAACTATAGTAGAAATTTGCTAAACAATACATCACAGTAAAATACATTCATATAGGCAGGGATTGGTGATGCATGCCTTTATTCCCAGCACACAGGAGGCAGAGGCATGTGGCCTGCTGTGAGATCATGGCCAGCCTGTTTTACAAAGCTAGTTTCAGGCCAGTTAGGGCTTCAGGGACACCCTGTCTCAAAATGACCAAAAAACAAAACAAAACAAAACAAAAACCCACCATACAACGCATTCTTATCATCAAAGAGAATGCATCTTTGAGCAGTGTTCCTGTGTTCATGAATTATCCATGGAACAATTGGCAGTAATGAAGCATTGCTAATGGACAATATATTCCTTCAACTCTGAGTCAATATTTACTATTAATTATCATAGTAATCTTTATAAATCAGAAAATACGAATTTAGCTTAGGATCAAACTAGAATACAGAGTCAGTCTGTCAAAAAGCTCCAATTTTGGGGATACAAACGTTTCTAAGCAAAAGTCATGTCTATTAAAACATCATATAGCATTACACGGATTTACAGAAATAATTGATATTCATTTTTATATGATACCATAGAATATTATCAAGAGTGTACAGTGTCCTGGACATTTTATTACAGATTTTCCATGGCTAAAAAGATTTGATATTTGAATATTGTTCCCCTTTTGTTTTGTAAATTAAGAGACTTCTACTTGATACTCTAAAATTAAGTTGCATATATGTGTGAATATTTTCACATATTCACATGCTATTTACAGAATACATGGTAATTCCTTGATACTTATGTTTGATTCCCCATTTGTGTTCTTTGATAGCAAATGAAAAGATATTAATCATGGAATTTTGAGATGCTCCTGAGGACTATGAAATTTTTGATGCTTCCTAAGACAGGGGTCATTTCTAAACGATGGCAGATTTTTTTTTAAGCATTAGGGTTTCTCTAAAATAAGGATTCTCTGATATTCCACAAGGTTAGATGGAAAAACAAAGACTTTCTCACATTTTTGTTTCTAGTTTATCCCAATTGTGAAGTTTTTTATTAAATTAGAATAAATTTTAATTAGAGATTTTAAATGTTTGTATTTAATTCTTTTTTTCTTCAGTATACTATGGAGCTTTGTAAT